ACCACAGCCCGGAGTCCCATATATAACCACATGAGCACCACATTGAGTGGTTTGGCGACTATCCGTGCGTTTGGGACACAGAATATGTTTATGAATCAGTACTACCGGTACCAGAATGACCACACTTCCACTTATTTCATGTGTTTCAACTCATCCAGAGCTCTCGGTTTCCATAAATTATTTCATTATATTTATTATTAGAAATATTTTTAACCTAAAAATGACTTTTATATCATAAATATTAGGAATAGTGATGGACTACCTGTGCCTGTTATACATACTATGTGTGGCTTTATTCCTAATGCTATTTCCCGAGGGTATATATCATATTAATAGACATAATTTTTCATTTAATACTAAACTTTAAAAATGTTTAAATAGGAGTTCCCGGCGGTAGCGCGGGTCTAGCACTATCGATGGCGTTGGGAGTGACGGGTATGACTCAGTGGGGGGTCCGGCAGTCGGCCGAAGTCGAGAATCAGATGACATCCGTCGAGCGGATCGTCGAATACAGCCGTCTCGAGTCGGAGGCACCACTCGAGGGTCTCCGGAAACCCCCACCGGAGTGGCCAACGGAGGGGTGCATTGAATTGCGAGGCGTTTACATGACATACGAAAACTCACTGAAACCCACTTTAATTGACTTGAATTGCGTGATAAGGGGCGGCGAGCGGGTGGGTATAGTCGGTCGTACCGGTGCCGGCAAGTCGTCCGTTGTGGCGGCGCTCTTCCGGATGCGTGAGTGCGAGGGACAGGTACTCATCGACGGCGTCGACACCAAGAGTGTGGGTCTACACGACTTGCGCCGCAAGATGTCAATCATACCTCAGGAACCGATGGCTTTCCTCATTCCCACACAATTTCGGGGTCCCGTCCCGAACGGCATATACGTGTATGGAGTCAATTGGTCCCTATTCTCCGGCATAAACCTCTCGGGATCCCAGACCTCTGGGTTCGGGTAGTACTCAGGATTGTGATGGAGGGCATAGATATCAAAAATGACCATCATCCCCTTGGGGATTGTAAGCCAATTACAATCTACATTCAAATTATTAATTTACAATTAAAGCCTTTAATGTATTTTTATTAATTAATTAAACAGAATATTCTGTTTACAAACCGAGAGTATATTCTTGAGACGCGTGCCTATGAGTGGCCGGAAGTGGAGGTTGGAGTCGAAGTGTTTCAGCAATACATGCCTCCAAATACGGCATTTTGGAGACACTCTCGTAATCATACATTCCGTCCAAACCATTCACTTCTTCATACAATTTTTGCTGACACTTCTCATTGAGCGCCAGATTGTAAAATAAAAATGAAAGCAAAGCACCCGATGTTTCGTAGGCGGCCATAAGAAATAGGAAACTATTGGCTATAATGTCTGCATCAGACATACCAGTGCTCTCTGATTTGTTTGAATTATTAATATCTGATGTTTCTGTGGTTTCTATTTTGCCATAGTTTTGCCATTTGCCATAAATATTTTCATCCAAGTCGTCGACATCCTGGTCATCAGTATCTTTATTCTTGCGGTTCTGGGCGTCAATCATGAGTTGAAGATAATCTCTTTGTCGCACTTTCTCTGACTTACGTCTCGAGACAATGGATGTGATCTGAAATCAGTAATCATTTCATTAAACAAACCCAACATTTTTGAGTCCATTTCTATCACTTACGGCTGTATTGAAAAACTTCTGAACCGATGGATCAATAATTTGAAATCCCGTCCATTCAAAGAGTTTCGGAGATATTTTCACTAAAGCCATGAACACCCATAATCTCCAAACCCCTCCGCAAAACACTTGTTTAGCGTTTACTATGAATTCACTGGTCTTGTGGTCATTATATGTGTCTATTTTGGTGCCGAAAGCACACGAAGCGATCACATCCATCGTTAGGCTTCCCATCGTTTTCTTCATCTCCACGTCTCCTCCAGCCATGGCTTTGGTCTCCAAATAGTTGTCTAATCTGTGGACACAATCAATGATAATGGGATGCATTGACCGCATCTTTCCGCTCGAAAACGTCGGACTTATCTATTGATTGCGTTATTATTAGTTATAATTAATTAATAGTTATTTAAATACAACTCACAATCGATCGCATAGTCTTCCACTCGTCTCCCATTAAGTTAGTCAATGACCTGTCATTCAAGGGATCATTGAATGAGTATCCATGTCGGTTCACAAATACGTGAAAGTCCTTTATATTCATATCTCTGATCAGCTCCGGGTCACTCACCATTAATGTTGGTTGAGTGCATATATATGTGCTAGAAACAAATTATCATAATCCAGTTTGCTTTAATTATAAAAAATATCTATTAAATTACATACCCATATACTTTGCCATACCGCTGTTGATTATCCAGGCCAACTATCTGGAATGGCTTCAAAAGTATTTGCCAATAAGTCCCCAAAAGTGGTACAGGTGTTGGGCCATTAATGCCTCGGGAACTCCAGTATTTGAAATTTCGGGTTAAATAACTAACAATTAATAGATACGAAGAATTAGTAATTAACACTTTATTAATAACTATTTAAAATTAAACTTACTAATAAAGTATAACCAATAAGGTTAAGAATAGAAAAAATGATTTTAATGAAAATATCAATCCTAGCAACATGTTTAGTTTAGTTTAGTTTAGTTTGAAAACTTTTAAAACTTTTCTTTAGTTTTCAAATATTTATATAATTTATTAACAAAAGTTTTTACCTTTTATTACTTCTGTTTACAAATTATTTTCTATAGTATATAATTATGTAATTTGCGTATTAATTGAACGTTTTACTCAATTTATTTAAAAACATTCCTGATAACACTATTACTTAATGTACATGTACATAACCACAGTAGGTTACGATTAATTATCATGTTGAAAATATATTTTGTTTATTGACCAATGCATTATTACTGCATTATAAATGCGATTAAGGAAGTGTAAAATCCCCATATAAAAATTTATATTATAAATATCATTTTAACTAACATAACAGTAATTTTGTCAACAAAATCCCAATTAACAAAATTAGGCAAATTTATTTTTAGCCAAATACTGAACAAATTTTATCACATTTTAATGCATGCTTTTAATTATAGTAAAACAAAACAAAATAAGGAAAAATAACAAAACATAATATTGCACAATTTATCAGGGAAATAAGTTCATTTCAAAATATGTTTACGACAATTTTATAAAAAGATACAATGTAATTATTAAAGTGTCAATATGAAATAAATCTAAAAATATCTTATTTATTTCAAAAATATTTCAAAACAATTGATATAATATTATAGATGTATATTTTTAGATGTATATTTTGCAATATTTTACACCTAACATTAAATATCTTACCGTAGTAATTATAATTATATATCTATAATTATTACCGTATAAATCTAACTTTTAAAGTAATTAATACACTTAATAACTAGCTTAATTACCATTGATACCAATGTAAGAATGGACAAAAAACACACATTTTACATGGATTTGGATGAATAAATAAATAGCAAATAAGCGATCCTTTGTAAAAAGTGATTGTATTTGTAGTAATGAGTGGACTCAACCAAATTAATTGTAATTTTTATGATAAACATATTTAATTTTACAAAATTATATCAATTTGACAAAATATATTTGTTAGTGTTGTTATCTACACAAAATATAATATAATATAATACTTTAAACATTTAAAAAACATATAATTCCACTAAATATACACAAAAATCAATCATTAATTGAATTGTGAGGGGAATTCCTACGGAACGCCTGCTCGGCCGCCGCGAACAGATGCCTTTCCATCTCCCGTCCCGTATGTCTCACCAACTGAGACAACATGGAGTTCCTATTCTGCAACAGTGCGTACGGACTGTCAAACTCCGTGATCCTCCCGGAGTCCATAACTAACACTTTGTGCGAATCGATAATAGTGTTGAGTCTGTGAGCGATCGTAATGACCGTACAGTCGGCGAAGTTTCGCCTAATAGTCGCCTGAATTAAAGCATCGGTTTTGTGGTCGACATTAGCGGTCGCCTCGTCCAACACGAGCACCCGATTCCTCCGGAGTATAGCCCGCGACAGGCATATCAACTGCCGCTGACCCACCGAAAGGTTGGCGCCCCCTTCCGACAGCTCGTACTCCAGTCCTCCCGGCATCTCCAGCACCGGCTCCCGGAGCTGAACCGCCTCTAATGCCGCCCACAACTCTTCGTCCGAGTGCTCCGCAAACGGATCCAAATTGCGGCGCAAAGAGCCGATGAAAGCCATCGGTTCCTGAGGTATGATTGACATCTTGCGGCGCAAGTCGTGTAGACCCACACTCTTGGTGTCGACGC